AAAGGACCATGGGAGAGCAATTGGGTTTATTACTTCCTTCGTGTTAACAGTAAAATCAATTCAATCTGGTGTTCTGTGATCCAGTGGATGGTTTGTGGAATGGGCTGATAAGAGCCGATAAGGGCTGATAATAAGCATTGGAATGAGAATCACTAAACGTATTGCTCTTTTTGAATTATCATTGGGGCCTTGCAACTTCCACGACTGGATCACAAATAACGGATTGCAGAAAGCGATAGGAGCTAGCAAACGCTGATAAAAGTACTGAGTAAGCATAAGCCATCTGATTCCCAATCCCTTTGGCATCCGCTATGTAGCCTTGACTCTTTATAATTTTTCAACCAACAATGCTGGGTATCGGAGCCAGTTCACAAAAAAGGGAGATTAGTACAGGACAGACATTGACAAGGAGGCATAGAAGGGCAGCCAGTAAAGGATTGAGTTTTGTGGTTTTATCAGTTTTAAACTCCAACCATTATCCATTATCAGTCAGACCATCCGGCTAACGCTAGTAATCCTCCGTTGTGAAAAGCTCTAAATATTCTGCTAGCTTGAATCATTTCCTCCTCTTTCATGTACAACTGTAACAACATAACTATTCATGAAGTTCCCAGAGGGGAGATGGTCAGAGTCAAGCTCGCTAGTCAGCTTTTACACAAAACGTGGGGTTAGACACAAGAACATGGGAAACGGCATATCGTGTCTGAGACGATAGGAAGGCAGGTAGACTTTGCTGTCGAGAGTATCGTGGACAGTCCATGACCTTCTCCATTGCCTCTCGAGTTGCAGCAACTATTCCATCAGATCGACGAAAAAAACTATCCTGGTCTTGTGATCGACGAAGCTCTGACAGGCTTTGCGAATGCTCTTCTCAGTATAACGGCTTCAACCGTACAGCTGCTCTTCTTTCTTTCGAGTCTTCCTTAATCGCTTTTCTACATAGCTTCGCAAGCCCGGACGTTGGTTGACGATTGCCTGTAGCTCTGGCATTACATTTCCATTACACGCTGACGCATCATTCCGACGTTTACCTTCCCTATCATCAGCGGAAACACGTCGGGGTGATGCGTCAGCGTGTAATGGAAATGTAATGCCATCCCGAGATTTTGCCGCAAATCGTAGACTCTGTGGTTCACCAAAACTACCGCAAGATGTTTGACGAGTTGCTTGTATTTTTCATAGATATTCTCGATGAAGAGACTTCCAGTCGCTCTCCTGGGGCCAGCCTTGGCGTTTGACGATGACCTCGGAGGAAGTCCTCCTGTAAAGCTTTCCCTGGTCCACATAAAGCGAATCTAGCTCCTTTTCTTCGTAGTTTGATCCCGGTGCGTAGGTAGCGAAGACTGTTGGAGTTGGGGTTGAGCCATAACAGTTCAACCGCGGACGTCCGATTCAGTTTGTCAACCTTTCGTACTAATCAGTGTTCATGGCTGTTGTTGTGAGCACCTTCACCTCCAATACCTCTGCTTCCAGGGGAGATTGCTTCTCCAGCTTCGAAAACGGCGTACAGCGGTCATAAGTTGTCATTCCGATGACGTTGTATCTGATCTTTCTAACCTGCGTCATCATCATATCTTCTTTGCACGCTTCCGATGCAAGCGTTCGTGCAGTGGAAGTATAGATCGCCAAACTGGTTCTTCTTCATTCGGCAGCTTTCAAGGCCCTGAGAGTTCAGCAGCCTCTCGCCAGTGAACCCAACGCTACCGTATTGGGCTACCTCAGCATGGGATGAGGCCCATTCATATCACTGTTTTTATAATAGCGTGAATACCCGGGCACTCACGAGTAGCTTGTCATGCTCGGATGTGGGAGCTGGATAGACTCTGGATAGCTAGTCATTCTTCACCGAAAAGAACGAAAGGCTTGATTTTCGGAAACGGTCCGAAATGTCTACCCGTTACTTTCCATTCACTCTGTTGCAAGTTTTTGGCTAAGCCTATAGGCAGGATGTCAACCGCTTAGACTCTCTAAAAACGCATGCATGGATACACCTGAGAGTAGACGTTATAAATCGATGCAACGCAACATAAGCAGGGACTCCATCTTCTTGAGTCCATCTGCATCTCTGAGGACCTGTCTGGAACTTTTGGCATGCGATTTGTTCCCCTATCCGTAACTCGGAGTCGCTTCACGTACCCCTCTCCCCAACCGGCAAGAGCCTTTAGTGAGGTGTC